ATTAACCAAATCCTTATCTTAAATGTGTAAAATTGGTTCAATATTCATCAAAATATTACTAACCTGTTGTCTCTCTTTGAGTACGTCGTTTGTCTTTTGTATGATTTTTATCTTTCAAATTCCTTGACATTAGCATTGGATAATTCTTTTTCGCGATTTCGCGATTGTCTTGGCCATACTTTTCTGTCAAGTTCTCGTATATATTTTCTTGGATGTTGCTTTTGAATCCGTTATTTTTGCCTTCGTTATTAAGAAATGGAATATTTTTCTCGATTAAACTGACTCTGCGTTCCAGTTCAACATTTTTATCAGCAAGAGTATAAATAAGATGTTTCAAGTTTTTATTTTCTTTAAGGATCTTCGAATTGATCTCAATTAAAGCATTCACATCGCGATCTAGAAACGCTGTATTTTTGCTTTCTTCCTGTCCTGATACAACTACCACAATGCTAATGACAAGAAATATATAACACATCGTTCCGTCGTCTATATCCAGTAAAAATGTAAATGATGGCGATATTTAGTGCATATGTTTGATAAGAATGAGAAAATCACCACATGACGCAAAAGAGAAAGTAACATATGTACAGAAAGATCATTAAGGTCAAGGAACAGTATATGGGTAACATTTTTTTGAAATTTTGCATGCAACTTTTACAGTTTTAACTCAGAAAAATATAATCCCTTTAACTGTTATATACTTTCTAAATGTTGTGGAAATGAAAATCCTTAAATTAGGTGAACACTAGTGTAAAGTGTACATACATTCTTACTTAGCTCAAGAGAGTCGAAGGATATCAAAGGGACATTCCAACTCATAAGTCGAAAATAAACTGACAACGCAATAACTTAATAAGACAAACAACAACTAGTACACAAAACAACATTGAAAACCAAAAACTGAGCGCCACGAACCCCAACAAAAACTGGGGGTGGTCTAATATGCTCCGGAAGGGTAGGCAGATCCTGTTCAACAAAATCATACTTATAACTGCTTTCTATACACCCACTGGCTAGTACATAGGTTTTTCCTAAAATTTGAAATGGTTTATCTGATGTAAAATGATTATAGGTCACCGATTTTGTTTTTAGGTATAGGAACAAATAGGTGTAATGTCGCGTTGTTTAGCAGTTAATGTCGTGTTTTGACGTTTGTCACTACCGATTTTATGTACTTTCATACAAATTTATGTTTCTATCTTGAAAGAATTTATTCCATTATATTTTTAGTATACGAGAAGTTCTTTGACATACCCCTGGTTCATCAACTTTCTGCTCAGACACTGGTAACGTTTTACAAAGTGTGAGTAGTAGCAGCAAGCTCTTGAATACCGAATGAGTTTGGAAAAGTATATCCCATATGCAGTGAAGTTGGTATATTGTTACTATGTTAAATAATTGTTAAAACCCTAGTTTGTTTTTAATAATATCTAAATTTGTTAATGGACAATTTAAGAAACTTTTATTATAAAACATGTCAGTACCAAAGTACTGACTACTGAGCTGATAATATCCTCGAGGACTGACAGTCCACCATCAACGGTACCTATCCAGTGATGTAAAACTTTACAAATTTCATGCGTCCGAAGATGTCTTGATATACTTCCTTCAGGAACGGTCTGTAAAAATCATGTCAGTACCGAAGGTGTTTCGATACCTATACATTTTTTTTTTACATTTTACCAAAAGCCTTTACGAAAATTACTTAGCTAATATTGAAGCTACCCTTGGAAGCAATCAAAATTATAGAGTGTCTAATAGACATCTTCATCAAAATACTGTTGCAAAATTGAAACATTTGTTGACATCATTTCCTTTTCCTTCGACTTCATGTTTTGGCTGCCTGTGGTATGATTTCTATCTTTTATAGCATTATAAGTCAGACAAATGATAAGTACATTTAAAGAATCTTCAAGAGGTAATTATCCAAACGAGAGTGATCTTATATGATTACAAATATATATAATTTCAGTCTCCGTCATAAGAAACTCTTTAAATGTTTTGATATTTGACTAATGGAATTTTTGTCATATTTACTCCGCTGTAGAACTTATAAAACTAGACATTTGATAACATCATTATGAAAAACGTTAAATGAACTTAAAATCGAGGTATTATGTAAAATAATCAATGCCCATGTTAACAGGCTAGTTTAAGGAAAATCTCTTCAAATATCTTCCATTGAAACAATATATGGTTGTCATAATCTGTCATACAACTGACTTGAAGCATGAAAAAATGGGGAAGAAACAAATTCCAGTCAGTTCAATTTCGATTGTATATCATGGAGTTCATGTCATTAAAGGGTTAAAGCTGTGTTGGTTTTTTATTGTGTAGCCAAACATATATATTGTGTATTTATACACCTCGCAAAGCCAATTAACTCTGGGATTGCAAGTTCTGTGTGGGTTAAACATTTTGCTTAATGTATTTAATTTAAAGTCCATTAGTCAGTTGCGTATTTTTGCAATTCGCTCAAGTAAAAAGGAGCAACACATATTTTTTTTTTAACTATCGGAAGTTATACCATTTTTATTAAATCTCTACATATTGAACACAAGGTGTCTAAACTAATATCAAAAGAAATGCACAAATAAAAAAACACTAATTTTACGCAACGTTATTACAAAATATAACACTATGATAAAAGAAAGAACATGGAAAACAACAATGAATTAATACAAAGGGAATTCAAATTGCATATAAAATTCATAAAATGTTGTTATAATAGTTTTGTTTTCAATCATCATTTGCTATAAATGAACATGTACACAAATGTATATGGAATTATCTGGTTCCAGTTATCAAGGATATTTACCTCAGTGTGACAAGATAAGATGCGTGTAATGGCTTAATTAATAATTGTTCACAAGTCACTTGGTTCTACTGCTTAAACCAAACTTGTTAGATAATCTTCATATCTTATAAGGGTTTGTAAAATCACAATATAAATTTTAAAATGCTTTTTATATCGTCAAATGGTCATATTCCTTTTTCCAAACCTTCACGATTTTGAATCAATTGAAACCAAATCTTTGGTATCAACTGTGACATGAAATGTAACATATGTACAGAAAGATCATTAAGGTCAAGGAACAGTATATGGGTAACATTTTTTTGACCTGTAGGTCAATAAGTCAATTTTCTGTTATATTTAGGTCTTGACTACATAAAGATAAATTGGAACTTTTGTCAATTGGTAAGAATGTATTTTTTGCTTCTCTAAATGTGTAATTGATGTTTCTGGCAAACAAAGTCAAATAAAATTTAAGTATCAATAATTTTATAGGTTTTTGTTAATTACAGTATAAGTTGTTTAAAAATTTCGTATAAACATGTACGTACGCCAAACGAACGACATTTCCTAAAATATGAATTATTTGTAGGTGAAAGATGAAAGCATTTCCAACCATCTTTTGTATTTGCTGTATGGTACTGTTGACTTTTGTGTCAAGCGTCACACCGGCAACCACAACAACTGGACATCATCACAATAATGGTAAATTTTTTCCGATATACCTCTATATATAGAATTTCTAATGGACTTCTCCCATTCAGAATTAAATCTCTGCTGTGGGTTTGGCGTTCGCTTGGCTATGTTGGATGTGTAAATGCGCAACTGCGTTCGGTCGGAACGATGAGGTTACATTCAATAATTAGTTCAAGGATATTGTCATTGTAGAATAATTCTTACAACTCGATGAGAGGTCCATTTGCAAGATAGATTTTGTTAAAGAAATAATGACACCTGGTTTTCACCTATTCCGACAGCTTAATTCATACTAAAGAGGTGAATCTGTTTGGTTATCCTGCATGTGTGAATATGCACGTTACTTCGGATTTTGAATTTTAAATTCCGATGCCCCACCTAGAAAGAGTGGGTTTTTTTTTCGTAACTCTCTCAAAGGGGTCTTTGTCTGTTGTACGATCACTTTCTTCGTCATGTGACAGTCTATATTTTTTATCTTTGATCTCGGTTGTTCCACTTTGTCGAACCTAACTGTTGTATTTATTGTTAACTAGTTCCGGTCCCGAATACACATGGAAACATTGGCACTGTACGTTAATCAACAATCAGTCATCAACTTTAGGTTAACAATTCAACCCCTTTACACAAAACCACTTATTTGTTCTGGTGTTAAATATATTCTGGTCCTGGGTTATTTGCTTCCGTACGTTCTACACCTTTTTACGTATTTTTGTATATTTTTATATTTTTGTGAGCGATACGAAAAGTTTGGTTTTTTTATTATAAAAAATTATGTGTGCTTGCCAATAAGAAAACTATCCTCTTAAGACCAAAGGGCGAGTGTATGGCCTTCAATAGTGAACAAAACTCATACCACATAGTAGGGTAGAAAATGCACTTGCATGAAAAAAAGTCAAACAGAAAAAAACTGAAAGAAAACGACCTGACTTATGATGAGAATAATAAAACTCTGTGGTTTTTTTTTGGATGTATTTCTATTTGTATCGGTCTGATGAGTTAAGTCTTTATCAACTGATTTTTATAGTTTCTAATTATGCTGTACTGTTACACCACTGTCCCAGGTTAGGGAAGGGTTGGGATCCCGCTAACATATGTAACCCCGCCACATTCTATATGAATGTGTCTGTCCCAAGTCAGGAACCTGTAATTCAGTGGTTGTCGTTTGTTGCTGTGTTACATACTTGTTTTTCGTTCATTTTTGTTGTACATTAATTAGGCCGTTAGTTTTCACGTTTGAATTGTTTTACATTTATCATTTCGGGTCTTTTTATAGATGACTATGCGGTATTGGCTTTGCTCATTGTTGAAGGCCATACGCTGATCTATAGTTGTTAATGTCTGTGTCATTTGGTCTTCTGTGAAGAGTTGTTTCAGTGGCAATCATGCTTACCACATCTTCTTTTTCATATGTTACTTTGTTTGGTTTAATTGTTGTTTTATTAGTCTTGTTTGTGTAATTAAATGTTTATGACTCATTTACCTATTTTCTTTTTTCTGTATGTTCCTTCAGGAAGAATTTAGAGAAACCGGTATAAACAAGTGTTTGCCTTTTTCAGATTGTTTGTTGCCAACTGATTCAGGACCTTGTGATGTGTATTTCCCACGTTATTCCTACGACCAAAAGACAAATTCATGCACACAGTTTGTTTATGGTGGCTGTCGTGGAAATGGCAATAACTTCCTTTCAATGGCGGATTGTGAAAAAAATTGTGTAAATACTAGATAGAGATAAGCAGTTTAATTGTGATGATGTTCGTGTTTTTGCTTACTATATCATAAAGAATAAAAATAAAATTCACTTGTAATCTTAGTCTAAACTTGAACTCTTTATAGTCACTGCTACAAGAAAAGTCTCATCTTAGGAACTTTCTACAGAAAATACTTAAGTTCTATGTATGAATTCTCTTCCTCATAAAAATTTATTGAATATGTGCACGAATTCCCTCATATCCTCAATAAACCATTGTGCCGACGAAAAAAACACATAGTTTACCTCAATATTGTGTGTAGGAATTTCATGTAAAATGTTTCAATGGTTATGAAAAGAAATGGAGGAAAAATACGACTTTAGAACATCTGAAATATCTGTAAATATTAAAAGATAAATGGTTAATTGGATGACTGTTATGTTAAACGTTCATGCGTATTTGTACAAATTTCTTAAGAGTGAAATCGTGTCATGGTTTCAGGTGTTTGCATATGAAATTATCTATTCTATAAATCGTAAAGATGCTTAATAGGAGTTAGTCTGTACTTCAACAACATATTGATATTTAAGTCTTAGATACATGATTTTCTATTAGTTGTTATTGACTTTGAATTTACTGTCAGTAACTGCGAGTACACTTAGATATTTTCTTCGTGTATTTTTGTTGTGGGGATGTATAAATACCCTGCCACAAATCAGTGTGGATAGTTATAGTTAAATTTGTGTAAGAATGTATCATTGTGATTTTACTTTTTCATCACCGAGTTTATGTATTGATTGTGCCCTAATTGATGTTTTTAGCTATTTTTGTGTCTTTTAAATAGGATTTATGTTAAAATGTGTTCCACAGTGACGAGCATATTGCATTTTCATATTAGAAGCAAAAGCTCTATTTGGTATTGTGCAGTGTTCGACAAAAACAAAATTACCAGGAAAGGTTAAATACATGTATATATATATATTTCTATTTTCAATTATTTCACTTTTGCTCAATGTTTATGAAAATCAACAATATTAAGGTCACCTCCTTTTCATATTATTTTATATCTGATAGTTTTCCTTAATAAATAAGCAGATCCAATCTGAATGGTTCATCATAGAATGCGTTCACAACTTATTCTTACTCAAAGAGCCATTTTTTTTAAAAGTTTGTCAATATTGTCAGGGATTATTAATATAGTGATTTATTTGTAGTATTTGAATGGCATATTCTTAAATTAATCATTCTAGTTGTCATGTTTAATTGCATCTAAACATAAAGTTTTTTGTTAAAAATATTTCTGTACTTGAACTATCAGAACAGTTATCAATGACTACTTTTTTCTAATTCAAAATCAGTTGCATTATAAGATTACTTTTGTATTAGACATCCTTTTCATTATTGTTGATTAAACAGTAACTGTTTGTAACATGAAGGCAAGAGACGAAAAGTATATTTTTTATTACATTACATTTGTCATAGAGATGCAAAAATGAGGCGGAAGATACCAAGGGTTAACCAACTGTCGGTTTAGGAGAGGAGACATTATATATAATAACTTTATAACATATCTTTAACTCAGCATCCTACGTTTCTATCAGAAATAATAAAACAAGAGAAAATATTATATTCTTCTGTATTTACAAACGATATCCCATGAATGAAGAATATAGTTGGTAAACCATATCTCCAGAGCCAAAATGGTAATTTCCATTTCCTTTGACCCATAGTTTATCACCTATGGCTAAATTAACTATCGCTGACGTTGAACCTGTACCGTATACTTCGTCATCGCCACTTCCATGTCCCTTAGAATATCCATAACCAACAGTATGTCCATTTTTTACAATGAGAAAATCCAGTCTAGTTCCGGGAAGAGTCATTATAGTGGCAAAGACTGCGTAATAACCGGCAACAGGTACGGTAAATATTCCACTGTCTCCGTGAAATGCATTGTGTGTGTCAACATCAACGGTCTTGAAAGGAATATCTTGGTGGTCTTCAATATTTTGAAGCGTATCCTTTACTACTCCAGAAAATGCAACTTCTCCTGGAACAACATTTTTAAACTGTAATAACATATTGTGCGAAAATTGAAAATATTGATCATTGAAATGAAGTTCTTGTAGCACTTATGATAATTTTATAATGGACGAATTTTCTATGTTTTCATATTTTACTGGTAGTCTCTTATAATTCTGTAAAGAATTTCTCTCTATTCTATATCGGTAATATATTAGTACCCTTGATGTAATATCGTATTATATATTATTGAGAGATAAGATATCAAATTGAATATAAATTACTATCAAAACAATTCCCGATTGTCTAACATTGAACCATCCCAATTACCTAAACAAACTTAATCCCGTTTGTCCAGCATAATTTCACTCTTTTTACTAGTAATTTAAAATAAATGAGACATTCGGGAATACACTATTTATGCATCGCATTTTTCTCTTCTGGCCTGGTTTTTTCATTCTCAACTTTTTTAATCAGGAGTTGATTTAGAACATGACATTGTCTATTTTCTTGAGAAAGCTTTTTTATTGTCGTGTACCGCACACCTCCATGTATTTAAAATGTTTATGTGTGTGATTTATCTGAAATTCAAACAAAACAAATGTGTTCTTTTTTTAAAGTTTTTTAATTCTAGTGTCCCTGATGAGCCTTTTGTAGACGACACGCGCGTCTGGCATACAAAGTTGTCATCATGAATTTATCATTAAACAGTTTACTATGGTATAGAGATGATAGCAACCTTATTTAACATTTCATACTTCAATAAGACATAAAAAATGAAATGGGGTGTCATAAGGGAATTTTTAAGATTAACAATGCGGAGAGTAAGGAAACACCCTTTCTACAATACTGGTATGACCTTAAGAATCGCATATAAGCAGACTAGTATTCTGGTCCAGTGCCGACCATGTAAGGGCTTTTAAGTATAAATTGTAAAATGTTAAAAGAAAAGAAAAAAGTTTACAACATAAATAATGGCAACAGTAGTATACCGGTGTTCAAAAGTCATAAATCGATTGAGAGTAAAGAAATCCGGTTTACAAACTAAAACCGAGGAAAACAGATAAACGAGAAGAGGAAAACGAAGTAACAGCAGGGACACTGAAGTGCAACAAAAACAAACGCCATCATACACGGAAACGAACAACTGCCGCATTTCTGACTTGGTACAGGACATTTTAAGATAAAATGGTCGGTTGAACCTGGTTATATGGCTAGCTAAACCTCCCGCTTATATGACAGTGTTAAACATTATCGCTTAAATGACAACACTACGTGACAGAAATACAACACAAACACACGCAAGACCACTCATTACAGAGAAACGAACCAACAAATAATATAAAAGTCGACACAACATGCAAACCGCAGAACATCTGTATCCGTTTAGAAGTGGAATGATTCCATAGATTAATTTAAATGTTCAAGCAGAAGCATTTGTACATATTTTAGTTCTTTGACTCACTGTGATGAATATAAATTATTTGTTGAATTATTCATATACTTTTTGTATGAAACTGGTAACAAACATATTCCATAATGAAAATAGACACGCTTACCTAGTGAATACGTTACAAATATATGTGTAAAAGGGATGACAGGAAGTCGTCATAAAAATATTAACCTAACAAAAAATATTTATAGAACAGCATAATGATTTAAAGTGTGTCAATAACGTACAACAAAAATCAGTACAGAAAAGTCTTTACTCTAAAAGTGTAACGCTATCCTATAATTTCCTTCATTACAATGTGTAAAATTAATGTATGTTATGTGAGGAAACTGAAGCGCCAACCGTTATTGTAAATGGTTGGCAGATATTATACAAATATCAATTATAAAGTCAATGTAATAAAACTGTTTTGAAGTCCAAACTTTGGATAATCAAGAAATAAGATTTGTTTAAATAAATAAAAGCAGCTTTATTAAAAGCTAATATCATTAATAATAGTTATTAATAAATTACAATATATGTGAATAGAATTGCAGTGTGTGCCAAAATACCTGAATAAATAAATCTGGGTCACTGTCTAAAAATCAGCTGTTCGCCAGCGGCTATAATTTGAAACTGAAACTATCTTTCTCAAAACGTTTGTAAGACGACGTCACTCAATACACGCTAAAAATAGTACATGTGTACACTAATATGAAAGTAAACCAAAGTGACGTCCTAGTTGACAAGTATGATTTTGGATAATTCTAACATTATATAAGGATAAATATGAATTAAATAGGATGCATTAATAAATTCTGAATAAGGTAATTATGAAAGATTATTCCGCATAACAAGCAAGTGTGCAAAAGTGAAAATAAGTATTACCCAGTTTCGCGGAAAATATACACCGGGAAATACGAATGAAATGAATGCTAAAAATGTTACTGTAAATAATCGTGGCACAACACTGCCTCCCATCAAGAAAAAGAATTCTGTCCCCAGAATTAATATAAAATAAAATAGCATAATATGTTAAACAATTTTCACAAGTCAAGTCGATCATTCATTAAAAAGTTCAATATAAATCATGCAAATTATAAGGTCTTTCCACTTCTTTGAGTGCACAAGACACACAGAACTTCAAATCTTCTTTCTTCATCATTAGATTTCTTTGGAGTCTTCTACCATTTCCTCATTTTCACTTAGATACTTGTTCATTTTAATGTCATGGTCCTTCTGCAGTCCTTCGGCATTACCCTTTGGATGGTTTTTCACAAATTGGTTTATTTCCTGTCTATTTCCTACATGTACATCAAATGTACAATTCTTTACTGTGTCTGTAAGGGGTTCCTTGAAATGATCTGGTATGGTAGAAAAATCGGCCATATTTCTGCACCTATCAAATTTCACCTCCAAGGAGTTTTCTGTTTTAGTAATCCTATTTCTCGTATTCCAATGTGCATCCATAATTTTTCGACTATCCTCAACCACTGGTTGTAGCATGGAATATTTGGTATCTATAAAATCAATATTACCAATCCCACCAGACAATATAATTTCTGAATTGGCTGGAACGGTTAC